TATGCCCCCTATTAAATTTATGCTAAGCTCCTTCCAAATAACTCTCATATATACAAATATTGTTAAAGTATTTGTGTTGTTCATGTGTCATAATAAAAAAAAGAAAACAATAAGTATTAATTTATTTAGTTATATTACTACATACACAGATATATAATATTAAAGAATAAAAATTTTTAGAGAGTTTCACATTCAGAATCTTTATCTTCAAAGTTGTTTTACACTGATCTTAATATAAAGATTGCGTGAGTTAAGAAAAATAATTATAATTTTAAATGTCATGGAATTTACCGTTAGCTACTTGCGTTTATAGAAATTTGAAAAAACTTGCGGTTACGGAAATATAAGGCGTCAAAAATTCAAATTTTACAAATTTCAAGAGGCGATAACGCGAGAAGGGGTGGAGATGGAAAAAAATTTTCTTCTAACAAAATAAAGTATTTATTAGTGTCTAAAAGCTGCTGAAAAAGGCTCCTACAACTTGGGGTCTAAAAGAAAAACGACATCAAAAATTTGGAAAAAACGGATAACGATAAACTTAAACGGCCATTTTGTTTTTATAAAATTTCTTTTCTGTGTTCGCAAAATGCTTATGGTTTCACTGCAATAAATAGTTAAAAAATGGTATTTTTAAGGTTTTGCGAGGGTATAACTTCTAGAGAGGGGGAGATAGGTAGAAATTTTGTTGAAATAAGTTTCTAGTAAAGATCTATGAAAATATAATGTAATTTCAGGTTTCTATCTTCAAGGGTGTAGAAGTTTTGTAAACATGCCCACGGACGGACGGACAGTGTGAGACTAGATGAGGATATTTAATCAACATATATTAATAATTCACTGTGTGTCAACATGGAAACAACATCATTACTTGAAATTATGAACAGTAGTGGACCTAAAAGGCTGCCCTGAGGACACCAGAATAAGCCGAAATGAGCGAAGAGAAAGAAAGAGGGTTCTGTAAGTCCTACCAGAGAAATATGATTATATTTAGGCAAAGAAGTTATCAGGGAATTTTAAAATAATAATGTCATATGGTAGAATGTCAAAAGCTTTGCTAAAGTCTGTGTAAATTACGTTCGTCTGCATCCATTTTCCATATTATTTGAGAAAACTATCGTGGCTTCTACAAGGTTAGTCCCAGTGGATTTCTTTTTCGAGAAACCACGCTGACGCTCACTAATGAATGACATACAATGGAAATAAATATTGTCATATACCATCAACTCAAAAACCTTAGATTCCCGGCAGTTTTGTAATAGGACGGAAGTTTGCCACGTCATTCTTATTGTTCTTCTTATGAATTGGCCCAATGAAAGCATACTTCCACACGGAAGGAAAAATACCCGGGCGCCAGAGAGGAGCACCACCTGCTTAAAATAATCTCAGGAACTCCATCGGGTCTTGGAGAAAGACTAGATCCCAAATTGGAAAAATATTTTTCAACCGCAGAAGGATTCGTGATAAAATTTGTAAAGGTAGTTTTAGAATAGTTTTCAATGTGTAGAAAATCGTCAATATCTATTTGAAAAAATGAAAAAGAATACGATTCGGCGAAAAAGTTACGAACAAATTCGGAAATAGTTTGGGAATTTTGACTTGTATTCCCGCAGAATTTCAAGAAGGTTGAATAACTGTTACTTTTCCTGTCTAGTTACTAGTTTTTGCGCCACAGCTTATTCTTTTTGTTGCGAAATACCCTCAACTCTTGTGAAAACCATGGAGGGCCAGAGCCAGTATCTTTAGTTTTCAACACTGGAATAAGCAATTCAAATGCAGCAAAAGTGATTTTATAAAACTTACTCATCATAGACTCAATATCAGTAAAGTTAAATAATGAAAAGAAGTCGTAAGGAGAAAAGAAATCATTTGATATTGCGAAATTCGCCCTTATAAAATCAAAACGATTGAAAAAGGGCTCGTCAATAGATGATTAGTCATTAATGCCAATAAGAGAATGATATCAATTTAATAAGACAAATTGGAAGTAAAGAGTAGACCCAGTTGCTTCAATTGATGGTGTGTATAATTTGTTGCAAATTATTAAGGTGAAAGGTATCTATAAAAGAAAACTCCAGCTCAGTAGAACAGTCAATTGGAATCAAAAACGGTCCCTCATCATGAGTCATCCACCCAATTTTGGGGAGATTAAAACCTTCGAAAACAAAAACCTCATTCTCCGGGTTAAGAAAATTGCATACATAATCAATTGCCGAAGAAAATTTGGTATATAACTCATTACTCGTTTGAGTTTGAGTGCTCCTAGAGGCTGGTACTCCTCTATTCTGGTGCAATATTTTGTGTGTGAGGGATGCATGGACCATTATTCGAAACTGGCCGACTCGTACAAAGAAATTAATGTATCCCTCAATAAGCAAAAAGATGAGTACATGGGACTGGCTGCGAAATGTATAGACATGGTTAGGAGTAATTCGGCATGCTTCAATGAAATGGCCAAGGATTACGAAGCCCTGAAATGTACTTTAAGCAAACTAGCTAGAAAGAAGCAGCCATCGTCAGTAGATCTAGAGGAGTTACAAAAAAGACTGGGGTTTTCCCTTAATGATAAACTTCACACACTAATGAACTCTAAAAGCACTTGCATGGAGTCTCTTAAGGAGTCAATTAGTTCTCTTAAGGGCGACGTGAACAAATTATGCGTTAAAGTAGATGCCAGCCTTGATACATATTTCGACATATAAGTTTAACCAGATTTATATAAGTTTAAACACGAAAGATGCCTGGTGTCAGATCAAAGAACCATGGAACTATGAGTCTATTCTGGGATCGACAGTTACTCCATGGCCTGCTATTTTCAAGCCAACAATTGGCAATAGTGCATCGTTGCAGGATGAATTGACCTGTTCTGAGCCTCCTGCAAGTTCCAATATGTCCGCCGTTGCTGAGACTAATTGCTCAAATGAAAAATCTTGCACTAATTGCATCAGGCTTTCCAAGCGACTAGCCGCTAGATCTTCCCTTAACTCTTCGCCTCGACGTTCGAACCTTTTTTTTCAAGATTCCCAGTGGCCACCACAATAAGTAGCCTTAAGTTGTTATTAAGTAAAAAATTTAAGTGCGATAATGTAACCGTAGCTAATATCACCCTAAATAACTTAAAATATAAGCCCAAATACAAGTCTTTCAAAGTTACTGTACCTCCTTCAATAGCTGATGACATAATTGGTCGTAAGTTTTGGCGTGTGGGTACCATGATTCAGTATTTTAAGGATTATGACTTAATTGGGATTGATGTTGGCTACGAGAAAGCTAATGCTTCAATGCACTCTAAACTTAAACCCATACTTACTTACCCACTTAATAATAAGAGGAACAGGAAACAGGTTTATTTCCAAAATACAAACAATAAAGGCAACTCCTCACGCACTGATTCTTCTCGCACAGGCAAGCATACTAGACAGGTTCTTTCCCGTAACAATGAACTTAAAGGGAACAATAACAGTAATAAAAAAGGGAAAATAAAAAATTTTAAAAATAATAGTAATAATAAAAGTAACAATGCTGATAACAATAATAATAATAATAACAATAATAATAAAAATAATAATAATAATAATAAAAATAATAATAATCATAACAACGATAATAGTAATAATAATAGCAACATCTATAACGTTAACAATAATACTCGTAATGATAAAAATTATAATGATAACAATAGTAATAATAATAATAATAATAATAATAATAATAATAATAATAATATTAATAATAATAATAATAATAATAATAATAATAATAATAATAATAATCATAGTAATACTGACATAAATCTTCATAGCAATAATATTCATAACGATGAAATTAGTGAAAAAGACCATAGCGACAATACAAATAATAACAAGAACAATAATATTGACAATGGAACCAAATACCCAAATTTCATTCAGGGTAAAACATTCACAGCTAACACACAATTTTCTATGTCTATACCCAACCCTCACAACCTACCCAATATTCGCTTACTGCAAACACATCCGCCTGCTAACTTTGTAGATCCGCTGACTACTCTGATCGTTCGTATGACCAAAAGGTCCGTTGAAGATGGCGACAGTACTTATGTACTATCTCGCTTCAGAGATCGGGCTGTATATGAGAATGTTAAATTGTACTTGGGATATCTTCACGATGCGGTGAAGAATGTCCACCACGATGGTAAAACTAGATCAGGTGTTAAGGTTTTTATTGAAGGTGAGGACCTTCCCTCTGACTATACTATTTTATATAGCTTACTCAAAAAATTTCATGACTCTTTCAATATATCTGCCGCAAGTGTCGATAAAAATTTACAAACATTTAGGGAAGCAAACAATAACTTTTTTCTTCCGACGACCTCAGCCCAATCGTCTAGATGGTTCAAGTAACTTTAGTAACAGCAATAACTTGGTCCAATTAACTGGTTTCGGAAATAGTATGACAAGGACTGTGAAACAACTTTCTTTGTACTATCAAAATGTCCGTGGACTAAGGACTAAAACTAACACCGTTCTGTTTAACTCTTCTCCTCTTGACTGTGATATTTATGTTCTAACGGAAACTTGGTTGTCCCCCTCCATCAATAATCTTGAATTATTCGACTCTTTTCTTCTGTTTTTAGAAAGGACCGACATGCACTTCTCTTGCAGGGACACACACCAAAGGGAGGTGGGCTGTTAATTGCCGTTAAAAACTCGTTATCAGTTAGTATTATTGACATTCAAGACTCCGATGACCTTGAAATCATTGAAGTTAAAATTGAGCTGAAATCCAAAATGCTTTTCGTAGTCAATTGCAATCAATTGGTACAATTGTTTACCTATAACTGTCCTGGATCCGTTGGTTAACGTTGATATCTATCATCCTCCGATATCTTTCTATTATTGCATTGACAACCAACCGTCTATTGACGAGCCCCTTTTCTATCGTTTTGATTTTGAAAGGGCGAATTAATTTGTTTTCTACTTACGACTTCTCTTCAGTATTTAACTTTACTGATATTGTCTATGACGGGTAAGTTTTACGAAATAATTTTTGCTGCATTTGAATTGATTATTCCAGTGTTGAAAACTAAAGATACTGGCTCTGGCCCTCCATGGTTTCACAACAGTTGAGGGTATTTCGCAACAAAAAGAATAAGCTGTGGCGCAAATATCTCTCCACTAAAGGCGACAGGGACTATGATAATTTCCGATTGTCGTATGATCAATTTAAATTAGCAGCAAAAGAACGTTACGACTACTATATCTATAAAACTTCAGATAACTTAATACGTAATCCCAAAGTCTTCGGAAGTTCATAAACCATAAGAGAATTTTGGAAAAGTGATAGTTATCCAACCTTCTTGAAATTCGGCGGGAATACAAGTAATAATTCCCAAATTATTTCCGAATTTGTTCGTACCTTTTTCGCCGAATCTTACTCTTTTTCATCTTTTCAATTAAATGTCGACAACTTTCGGCACATTGATAACTATCTTAAAACTACCTTTACAAATTTTGCCACGAACTCTTTTACTGTTGAAAAATATCTTTCTAATTTAGGTTCTAGTCCTTATCCTGGACCAGATGGAGTTCCTGAGATTATTTTAAGCAGGTTCTGCTTTTCTCTGGCGCCCAAGTCTTATTCTTCGGGTATTTTCCCTTTCGTGTGGAAGGAAGCTTTCGTTAGGCCAATCCATAAGAAAAAAAATAAAAATGACGTGTCAAACTATCGTCCTATAGTTAAACTGTCGGCAATTGCTAAGGTTTTTGAGTTGATGGTATATGACAATATTTATTTGAATTGTATGCCATTCATTAGTGCGTGTCAGCATGGCTTCTTCAAAAAGAAATCCACGGTGACTAATCTAGTGGAAGCCACGACAGCTTTCTCAAATAATATGGAAAATGGGTATCAGACGGACGTAATTTGCACAGACTTTAGCAAAGCCTTTGACAACTTCTTAGCATGGATAAAGTCATATCTCTCTGGCAGGACTTACAGAGTCGTCTTTCGTTTAGCCATTTCCTCGCTTCTTTCGTCTAATTCTGGTGTACCTTAGGGTAGTCACTTAGGTCCATTGCTGTTCCCAATTTCAATTAATGATGTTGTTTCCATACTGACGCACAGTGAGGTGTTAATATATGCTGAAAACATGAAAATTTTAAAAAAAATAAGCTCTACAAATGATGCGTTGTGTCTTCAGAATGATCTTAACCGCTTCTATGGCTGGTGCTCAAGTAACAACCTAAAAATCAATGTAAGTAAATGCGCACAAATGTGCTACTCTAGGCAAAAACTGTCATCTTTTACAAACTATACTTTGAATGACCAAGCTCTTAGTCGAGTTTATTCAATAATGTAACTGGGTGTTTCCTTCGATAGGAAGTTATCATTTATAAACCACTATAATCATATCATAAGCAGATCAAGCTCGATGTTAGGTTTCATTAAACGCTGGTCAAAGGAGTTTAATGATCCTTATGTCTTAAAATCACTCTACACATGCCTGGTCCGTCCTGATTTTGAATATGCTTCACAAGTATGGTCACCCTAGGATTGAGTCTATTCAAAAAAATTTTTTGAGGTTCGCACTGCGCCTTCTTCCTTGGGAGGACCCCATCATTCTTCCACTTTACGAGCACAGACTCAAATTAATTGACCTACCCACACTGGGTAAAAGACGTGACGTCGCGGGTTTGTTATTCATTTTGCAGCTTATGAAAACTGACTTAATCTCCCCCGACATTTTAAATAAAATTGTGATTAATTCCAACCATAGGTCTCGCTCCCAGGATCTTTTCATGGTTCCTTTTCATAGGGCCAATTATGGGAAACATGAACCTGTCAAACACAAACACAGATTTGACTTTTCACTGAAGGAAGACACGATGAAAAAGCTTCTATTTATTTATAGTTAAGTATAACTAATGTCTTTATATCTAACAAGTCCCAATGCTCAGAGAGGAACTTGAAAGCACGACCTTATTTGATATGGCCTTTTTTAAATCGAAGTAACTATTTTTGGAGAAGAAATATTAAAATAAATTCACACTTATTATAAAGCAGGTAAAATTTAGAACACATATTTGAAAAATCAAAAAAATATATTAATATTTTCATTGATAATTATTTTAAAATTTAAAAGAAAGCGGAAAAACAACAAGCACATCCTTCGCCTTCAACGTTTTATATGTTACTGAAAGTATTTCATTATTTTTAAGTGAACAGCTTTTTTTTCTCATAGGGTAAGTTAACTCAAGATATGGGAAGTACCTGTGGTGTCAAGTTGAAAATATAATTAATGAAAGATAATTATTAAATATTGATATAAATACGTAGTAAAGAAAAAATTTGAAGAGGGAATTAGAAAATAATATCTAACATAATCAAATATTAATTGTTAAATACAAATTTTATATAAACTTCAAAATTTTACCTCTATTTTTATTTGAAAAAATATTAAAAACTAACTATCATTTATATCAATTACCTAAGAAAAAAAAATATTTAAAATGTTTGGAAAAAACAATCATATATTTTTATGACCGGATTTGAATATTTTTCTATTTTTGAAATAAATGGTATTTTACCAAATGACTCAAAAATTCCGTCTGTAAAATAACAGGTATTTTAAAATTTTTGTTCAGGTATTTTAAAATTCTTTCCGTTTAGAATTAAGATAGGTCATACATACACATGCAGGGACATTTTATAAATAGATTGCTTTTGTTTACCTGCTAATAAAATATGAAAAAAGAGCACAGCAAAATTTTTGAAGCACTCAGTATAACATGTTTGAAATAGTTTTAAAATAATTATTTAAAAAAAAATTTATTGGAAGTAGGTACATACATATTTATTTTTAATAACTTAAAAACTAACTGAAATTATTTGGAACAATTTTATAAGTAACGTATAAATAACCGAAATGAGATAATTCAAATTGTTGAAATGTGTCAACCTATATTACTTTTAATAACATTTTTGTTAGCCGACACTACTCAACTTGCCTTATTGGGAAATACAAAATGTGCATGAAAAATCATACATCCTTCCTCATTAACATTTGAAACCATACTGAAATATGAATTTGAAATTTTTTATCATTTTTTCTTTCCTCCTACCTTTCTTGGGAATGAGAAGCTTTTTAAAAAATGTGTATAATATCCTGAGATTTTTTAAAATATTAAACTCTTTTTTACGTAAAAAAAAGAAAAAAATCATAAAAAATATGACACGATCAGTGGCATTTAAAGAAAAAACCAACAACGAGGCCAAAAATTCGTAATATTTCGTAAAAAAAATTGAGTATTGGGACTTGTTAGATATAAAGACATTAGTATAACCCTTTGCTTTATTTTAACAAATTCTTGTTTTAGCTTTTCATTGTCTATATTCATATTTAATAGAATATTATTACTAATAAGTTTTATTTTGTATAATTTTTAAATTTAATTTTTAAGTCAAAAATTTGTTCTGTCTAAAAAATATGTATCTGTATATTCATTCTTTAATTTTAGGTTATGTAAAATGTTTGAGCATAAATGTTTAAACATAAATAAATAAATAAAGTACTTGAGTTAGGCGGTAAAAGCAATTAATTAAGAAAAGCGTTTTGGAATTCAGCTCAATTTTAACTGCAACGATGTCAAGATAATCGGAGTCTTGAATGTCAATAATACTAACTGATAACGAGTTTTTAACGGCGATTAATACCCCACCTCCCTTTGGTGTGTGTTTCTGCAAGGGAAGTCCATGTCGGTCCTTTCTAAAAACAGAAAATGAAGAGTTAAATAATCGAAGATTATTAATGGAGGGGGATAAACAAGTTTCCATTAGAGCATAAGTATCACATTCAAGAAGAGAAGAGTAGAACAGAACGGCGTTAGTTTTTGTCCTTAGTCCACGCACAATTTTATAGTACAGAGAAAGTTGTTTCACAATCCTTGTAATACTATTTCCAAAAGCAGTAAATTGGACCAAGTTATTGTTGTAATGAAAGCTACTTCAACCATCTAGACGATTGGGCTAAGGTCGACCAAAAAAAAAAACTTGTTGTTTGCTTTTTTCATCCTCTGTTGATAATCAATCCATTTGCTTTTCATATCTCTAAATATTTGTAAATCTTTATCAACACTGGCGACAGATATATTAATTAAAGTTCGCTGGCGTCCACCTGGGTTTGTCCTTCACCTTCACTTCTTTTATAATACTATTTTATCAGAAAAAATTACTTTATTTTATTTTAATAAAAAAAACACAATATTTTAGTTTAATTTTACAAACAAAAATTTTATTAGTTATCACTTCCAATTATCAAATATTAATAATCAAATTTATAAAATTTCAATTTTTATTAATGAAATAATGTGCAACGTTAATTCCTCCCCTCTTAGGACCAAATGTCCTCATTTGGCTAACTATGGTGATAATTCTTGTTTGAGTAGCTGTTTTGAACAGCGTCTCTTTACTTGGGATGCTTGAGCTAGATCTTGGAAGTACTGGTGTAATATTCTCTTCCATATTCTGATTTGTAAGCTCTATTTCTTCTTTTCCTTTGCCTTTCTTGTTTTTTGTATTTTCCACAGAAGTGTTGTTAATTACAAGTTTTGCTCGATGTTTTCTATTGAGAAGCATCATCACGAATAGCATCACTATTGCACCTACAATGGATGGACTATAGTTTAACATCAGCTCAGTAAACCTTCCTTCCTTCAGTATTTCGATTTCCTTCGTGTTATTAATGTGAATTTCTTGCAATAGTTCCAAGGAAAGTTATTGATGTAATTTATCTTCAGTTACTTCGGGTTGTAAAATTGGTGGCCAAACTTTGTGTGCTGCTATTTCCTGGCATCTAAGTGTCTCATTATTGATTTTTATTGTATCGTTATGGAATTTGATTAAATAGCTCCCCTTTAAGTGCAATCGCTCCCCTACTTGATGTTATATTACCATTAAACTGGTTCAGAAGTATCATTCCATTATCGATTATTTCTATATCGATTATTTCTTCCTTCTATTAAATTTCTAATGCAAGTAGAGTTATCGTTTACAATTTGATGTTTTTTTACATATTTTTATATTATTTATTATTTTACAAAAACCTACAATTCCATACAGATGTTCTTTATTTAATAATAGTTCTTTATAGTTAATTTCTACAATTTTGTTATTTTTTAATTTTATTGGTTTTATTAATACATTCTTATAAATATTTGGATTTGTTAGGGGAATTTCTAGAAGATAGAATAAGCAGGTTCCATTTGTAATTACTTTTATGTTAGCTAGATCAAGCGCTTCTTCCGCATTATTATAAGGAAATTGCTGATTATTCAATATCTGACTGAGAGTGTTAATCTCAGCTCTCGATAATAAGGTAGGATTAATAATATTATTTTTTGCCCAGTGTATGGCACATTTGAGGTTAAATATCTCTTCTTTAATTAGTTTTATTTTGTATTGTAGTTTTTGTATGAAAAGAGTAGTTGTGTTATCGTATATTGAGATTTTTATTTTTTCTATGATTTTGTTCGTAATTTGTGTTAGGTTGTTGAGCCTATCTTTGAAAGTAGTATTTATAACAGTTTGCTTATTGTTATTTTCTAATAGATTTGTTTATTCGCGCAAGCACACGTCCCAGAAGGTTGGATGTAGTTAACCCTCTGCTATGTTTTATTTTCTCCCTGCTGTTGATTTGGAAATGATCTTTTACCACCAAAGTTTCGGTTTTGGTAATCGTTAGCATTCTGGTGAGTTCTAAATTGTTTAGAGCCGGCGGGTTCGTTTTTGAGTTGCAGTTGGGACGGATTAATCGTATTTTGTAATTGTGAATTGATATGTTGAGCATAAGGTCTTTGATGTCTCCAGGAATTAGGGAAATGATCATTCTCCCGCTGGCCGTATCTAAAATTATTTCTATATTGTTCCTTAAGTTGCTATGCCGGTTATCTATGTTGTCTGGCAGGACTTGGTTGTGTAAAATTGTATTTCCGAAAGTTTGAATTATTTTTATGAAGATGTGTATTAGAAACGGATACCCCAGTTAATTCATTATTTTTT